GTATTTATTATTGTTAATCTTAATACTTAATCAATTACAATACCTAGCTTATTTTTAGATGATACTCCCGTTGTGATGTCTACACCAAGTCCAAATCCTCAAAACCCCAAAACCATAATAGACAAAAAAGTGAAAAAACTTTTTCACGGTGACAAAACTACTGATATTATTGAAGAATGCAAATTAAGAGTAAAAAAACAAAAAATGTCCATTCAACATGAAAACACAATGAATGAATTACAGGTACAATTAATATATCATTTTTACAAACTTTCAAACTTTGAGTGAAGCTAGTGGTTTTAAAATTTTTTTTTCTGTGTTCAATCACTTTGATCAGACATTTTTAAATGACAATATAACTAGAATTAACTATTTATGGTTTAAGATTTTAAATCAAAAACTCATCATGCAAGGACTAGTAGCAAAAAGATTAGAAGAAAACAAATTATACAAACTACAATGCCAAAAATTAGCATTGGAAATTAAGCAATTAAAGGAATCATTTGTGGATTAGAAATAATATGATTATTAAAATTAGTTCCCAAGGAAGATTATGATTTTTTGTTATGTTTTTTACCAAAGCAGGTTATGATTTTTATTATATTTTTTATTTTATGTTTATTACCAAAGCAGGTTATGATTTTTATTATATTTTTTATTTTTTGTTTATTACCAAAGAAGGTGATATTTTAATATGCTAAAAAGTTTTAGATAACTGTTACCTAGTAATCTTAAAATTTAAATTGTTTAATTGTTCTAATAAGTAATACAATCAGTATGAATCTGTTAATCATTTATTACTAAAGAAAGTTATGTTATAGAACAATTTTTATTTTATTTATTTACAAATTATATTATATAGGTTTTCTTGTAATACAATTTTGTTATAATTTTTTCAAAATAACAAACAAATTACAGTGACAAATTCATTAAGTGTATTGTTAAAAATATGTACACATGATACAAAAGTAATTAAAAATGCTCATTAAAATCTATATCACACTTAACAGAATTTGTATAAATGTAATTTTGGCTTTTCACACCAATAAACTTTTTAAAAGATGATATACTGATATCATATGTATAATATATAGATATTAATGATAAATTAACTGAAATGTCTCAAAATGTATGCACTTCTTGTAGCGTCGGCTATTATGTTATTTTGAATATCTTCTACTGGTATTGGAAGTCTATCTTCAGCTTCTTCTTCTTCTTCTTCTTCACTATATGAGTTATTATCATGTGTATTATATTTTTGAGCCATGTTATGAAGTAATGCACAAGTGATAATTATATTAACAATCGTCTCTGGAGCATTAGCCAGACTTCTTCTCAAACATGAAAATCTTCTTTTCCAAAGTCCAAACGTTCTTTCAATGATGTTTCTAGTTCTGATTTGAGCTTTGTTGTACTTGCGTTCAGGTGCTGTATTCGGATTACGCAATGGTGTAAATAAATATGGCTTGCATGCATATCCTTAAGTTAAAATATAATTAATATATATTAATATGTTTTCAAAATTGAATACTAACAATGGTCTTCATTCAGTTAGGTAACAGAAAACAAATATATTATTTAATATTTACCACCATCTCCCAGCAATTTTACTCCATTAGTGTTTTCAGAAAAAAACCTGTTGGCGTAACTTCCATTAAAAATGAAACTATCGTGATAACTTCCTGGCCATCTAACTACTAAATCAAAAAATTCCATTGATGGTCCACATATAGCCTATATTAAATAATACATGATAGATGACTTAAATAATACATAATGCTATATGCTCAACTAGGCTTAATATATTTTGGCG